TATAAAAAAACATGTAAATATGAACAATGGGAGAAGGTTATATTTAGGAATTTGATATATGAATCATCCAGTGTTAATAAGAAGGGCTTAACTATATCGATATATTTCAAGTAAGGTCATGAGAGTTGCAGTGTAACACAAAAATGCATATGAAGGTTAAAAATTTCTTAAAGAATTTCTAAAACAATAGTTTGTATTTTAAGTATGCAAAACCAACAGTGCCTGCTTCAGGGTTCAACAACACAATCATAAAGATATAAAAAGGAAACCCAAATGAAATATTTAAACGTACTGATAGGAGAGACAACGATGAACCATTTATTTGAGAATCATACATAGCAACCTCGGGTGGTGATCAGAGGTGAGTAGGTCGTTTCCTGCTCGGAGCAGCCAGTTTCTGAGGAAACCGAGATCTCGAATCGTCCTGTGAATTCGTTGTTGTGTCTGAACGTAAGATACCTTAACTAGATTGCTTTGGAGAGCACGCGGTGGGTCTATTGTATGTTGCAAAGTGAGGTAGATACTAGATTTTACAAGAAAAATCCGCCTCAGAATGCACAGGCATTTTTGGCGGTTTATTTCCGGGTAATGCGCCACGTCATTTTAGACGATATTTCCTTGTAATATGTGGTGGTAACATCACTAAATAACATACGGAGGTCCGTCGCATGCCATTCTGATCCATTTGGGATAACTTCCTTAGAAGCACAAGCTACCACGGGTAGAGAGTGTCGAATCATGCACTGCGGATTTCCCCTTAAAGTTACGTACAACCGACACTCTATAGACTGAACCATCGTCGCTCTGGTGTTATTCTTACTTGGTTGTTGTGGTATTTTACTCCACGTTACGCATATTTCTAATGTGCCCGATGTTCGCATGAGTTATCATTATAAATTCGACAAATTCCATTTAACCAATTAGCGACCCACTTCGTATTTACAAGCAATATCACGTCGGTGTTTGAAAAACCGCCGGATCGTCCTTATTTCTGAATGTATTGAACTACTCATCAAACTCTAGGAAAAACTGAGCATTTTTTGTTATCAATAATATTTGATTTGCAAAGTAATTCTTTCATTTGTTGCGAGTTGAAAATAAAAGACATTTTCTTGGAACATTTTGGATTCATGACGTTGTGAACACTGATGTTCATTCGCTGTATTGAGGTTATATTTTCGTAACGAACAAGAATTTCACTCGAATTTCAACACATGTATACCTAAAACTGCTCATCCATGGATGTTCCTTCACATTCTCATAAATTGCCGCAAATATGTTGATTGGAAAAATAAAATGCTTCATTGTTTATCACATGAACAGATGTCACAACTTTAAGTGTCTCTTAAGTTAAGATAAGGTGTGTGTCATCTTCTGTATAACCACGAAATTCCTTTTCTTATTCTGGCTAACAGAATCAAGATTATTAAAAAAGAAAACAAAGTAAAAAAAAAGTTTGTTGTTTTAAAGTTTGGGTCTGCGAGCTTTACGCACACATTATATTGTAAATGTCAATATCTGAACTTCTGAACTATAATTGCTTTGGTTGTTTTGTACTCTCAGTCTCTGATACAAATAGCGTTAAAATATAATTATAGTGAAACTGTTAACTCCTATGTGGCTACACATCTCATAGTGTATTCATAGGAACTGATTTTCAATGCATTTGGATTATTTGCTTTATTTCCTAAACAAATTCTACATACATATATGACATGCATATTGCACTGTTATTTAATGTTAACATTAATTGTTTTCTTAAATTACTTATTTCAGCAGGTACATCGACACAGGGATCTGTATCATGACCAAAGGGTGTCGATAATGGAACAAGTCATTCTGTACCATCAGAGGCAGCAAACTCCTCACTTAACTTTCCTTTCATCATTTATCTGTATCATGGGTTAATCATCAATTTGGAAAAAAACTCCTGAGTTTACAATTTCACAGCAACATACTTCAGGACAGTTTTTCTTGGTATTGAAATGTTTGGTCATCGTTACATCTTAATCACATCCAAATGAACATTTTGAAAAACGTGCAGTTGAATTATATATACCATCTAGTTCCCATCATTCTGATGAGAATAATATCATATCATATATCATTATTCATAGAGGTTAAGTGGGGTAATAAATAGTACAAAATGATACTTCAAAACTGGATGAAACTATTGAAATATTTTGTTAGTCTGATTTTAGATTAATATCCTCTGACATCTGAAAAAACGAAATTCAACAAACCAAATATTTCACTTATATTGTCGGGTCATGGTCTAAACTATTAACCTTTACGGTCTTTTTAGTATCGAGGTTAGCCGCAAGCATGCCTTGTTTTAATGCATTCTAATAATGTTTCAATTCCTACTCAACGTGGACTTTAACGAAACGATCAAATTTAGCCTGTTTTATTGGTCCATGAATTTGACAAGATTAGCATTGATCTGGACGTATGAACACATCCTATACAATTCTGTAAGGAGGAACTCTTACACATGTTTCACGTTAAACTGTAAACAAAAGTATTCAAATTTATAGAATATAGATTAATACAGATAAATATATATATAGTAATTTAAGCAGTACAGATTTGTATTCCTGGTTGTGATATCTGCTGAAGAACTTATAAATGTTGTCGTCTGCTAATTTGTTTTACTTACCACTACATGAAAATTTCTAACAAGAACACGAGCGTCCGCTGAGCGACTTTGATACAGAGCTGTTTCTTGACTATATTCAGTGAATTCATAGGCTACAGCGAAAGTTAAAAAAAAACACACTCCATGACAATTTAAAAGGGGCCCAAAGGCCTTCACGGTCATCTAACTGTAAAGACCTGTATATGAAACAGGCCAGATAATTCTCAAATATATTGCTCAACTACTCTACAGCTTACAAAGAAGCGATGTTGGTTCATAAAAATATTTTCTGCAAACTTCATTACTTATACATACTACTAAACGAATGCCGCTACTCCGAACCTATTGCTCACTGGAAAAGAAATTTTAAGGTCTCAACTCCCTTAACCCAAAAGATATTGAATAGAGGTTAAGGTCAATTGTTTGAACAAATCGGTATCCCTTCATCCACTTATATTGAAGAATCAATATCAACAGCCTTGACCCTTTTTGTTATTGATAAGTCATTTAATGATTTTTACACATTGTCCCCAGTGACTTTGCAAAATGGGTCGAGGTCATGCATTTGATTAAACATACTATGCGCCCAATACCAGTACGCCGGGCCTTTTGTTTATTGAGAAGAAGTCGTTTAAAGATTTTGACACATATGACACTTGTGATCTTGGAAGTACGCGAAGATCAGTGATATGAAAAAAACCTTGGTAGCCAGATTGCAATTGGCCCAATTTCAGCACCCTTGGCCTTTTTAGTTATTAGAACAAACTTTGTCGCATCATGCTACAAGATCAATAATTTCACCCGGGCCTTTCAGTTATTGAGAAGTCGTTTAGATATCATAACATTGTTTTTACCTCTGTTACCTTGCAAGTAAGTTAAGGTAATTCATTTTAACAAACTAAGCAGCCCTTTATCCCGTCATACCACCGAACTAATATTAACACCGTTGCTTAGTTTTTGAGAAGTCGTTTAAATAGTTCAACACATTTGACTTCTGTAACCTTGGAAGTCGGTCAAGTTAATTCATTTTGACAAAATTTGGTAGTCCTTCATCCCGTCATGTTACAGGCGCAATATCAGAGCCCTTGGCCTTTTGGTTATTGAGAAGAATCATTTGAACAGAAAGTTTACGCACGGCGGACGACTGACGGCGGACGAAACAGGATGGCTATAGGTCACCTGACTCTTTGGGTCTGATGACCATGAAATTACTGTCGTCCACTTCGAAGCTACGCATGAGACAAGACAAGTTGATAAACTAATTAATTATATTTTAATTAAGTTGGCTTGTAATTTTAAGGTGTCGCATAATTATATTTTGTCTTAGTAATACTGTTTGATTATCGTGATGTTTAAAATGTCGGACTATATTTTTATCACATTATACAATTGATTAGGCTTGATCAAGTTGTAGTCACTGTAGACTTGGATGTGTTCAAAATTTATATCACAGACAGTTTTTATTGAAATACAGGATGGAAGGACAGAACAGCTGCATGGCACAGTTTAATTTATTATTTGGCTCTGTTTATCTAATTTTTACATAGTATTAAATGGTGCTATTCACTAGTGTGTCTTTTCTTCATATATGCGTTTGTTTCTATACACGAATACCAATTAATAGATTCTAAAGGTATTTTTTCATTAATTCAATCATCAGAATGCTATAATACATATTTAAAGTAACTTAGTAATTAGGCTTCAATCAATATATCATGATTTCTCGCGTATAGCCTACAACAACAGCTTGCACGCAGATGTTTTACTATATAGTCGATAACCCGCACCTCCGTATTGCCCACAAGTCGAAAACTTGAATGCTGTATAAATGGACCAAGAAAATAATGTGATATTTGAATCGTTTTATATGTATGTTTACCACAACATTCTCAAGTTGTAACCTCGCCAAATCAGCTGTGTCTTACAAGCTCATGAACTGCCAAAAGTGTACTAATGTTTCAATTAATGTAAGCAAATGAATGTTACCTTCTTTATAACAAGTCGGGAATAAAAACGAAAAAAAAATATTGAAGTAATTTCCGTTTTTATTTTTAGTCAGTATGAACTCGAAAAATATAAAGGCACACACGGGCAGTATCGTTTCAACTACAAGTGCATATATTCCACTTATAAAAAGGCAAATACAACATTCAAATATATGAAGACACATTAGTTCACGTGGTTATCCGATGGGACTGAGGTTAGTAATGTCTGTTATTTTAGATTCTAAAGATACAAAGCCCGCAGATTTCGACAGAACTCGTATAGGGGAGTTTCACAATGGGAAATACTGCGTAGAGTTACAGGAGAGTAAATGTTCTGAAAGTGCTATGAAAAGAGTAGCTCCACGATAACATCAAATTCAATATTCGGTATTAGGACGTCGATCCAGCCATGCATTGATGCTTGGAATAGACCTCACTCGATCTGAATGTTTTTTCATGCTAGGACTCGAAACGTAGATATCATGTTTGTTTTTGTCGGTTAACATCTCAGCGATATAGTCAAACACATGGAACACTGCTATGTCAGCAAGCGTGAGCTGGAAGAATATAACATATTAACGTTAGAATACAGTGACAACACTTTTAATGAGCACTGTACACCAACAAATAATCACGTTTCATTAATTTCCGGAAATGTCGATTATAAGAAAAAAGTGTAAATTAATTGTAGTAAACATAACGACTTCATCACACACAGATGAAAAGCTATCAGGTTGGTAAAAATATGTGGCCCGGAATATATATCCACATACCTTTATAGCTAGATATTTTATCCGCTTACATATTATGACCATCCGGTTATATTTTTGTATTACTCGTGATATATTTTCACCACCCGGTTATATTTTTGTATTACTCGTGATATATTTTCACCAACCGGTTATATTTTTGTACAACCCACTAATATATTTTCACCGCCCGGTTATATTTTTGTACAACCCACTAATATATTTTCACCGCCCGGTTATACTTTTGTACAACCCACTGATATATTTTCACCATCTGGTTATATTCCTGTACAACCCGGTGATATATTTTCACCACCCGGTTATATTTCTGTAATACCCGGTGATATATTTTCACCACCTGGTTATATTTTTGTACTATCCGGTGATATATTTTCGCCATCTGGTTATATTCCTGTACAACCCGGTGATATATTTCACCACCCGGTTATATTTTTCGGAGCAGCGAAATACTAACTGGTTGTTAACGGTTTATGTTACCTCTCTATATGATGTTTGTTCACCAAAGACTTATCACAGCTGGTGAATGTTAAATTGTACCATACTCGAAACAAAAAAGATGTAATTGTGAACATTAGTTAGGATAATTAGAGCATTTAATTGGCTACTTATCTACGTACGCGATTATATTCCCTGAACACCTGACTAACTTGAAATTCTAACAAAGACACAACTATTGTCGTAGATATGTGACTACAGGGTAAGAAAATTTCAAGTTGTGTTTACCTTTTGGGCAACAAACCAATCATTTTCTCCTAGCATTGTCGTGAAGATCTCCAAAAACCTCGGCATTGTTTCGGCTAAAAACGGCTTCATTAGTGCAGCCTGTAAACACGATTACATACTAATGTTTAAATAGATGTTGTGAAACTTTTCTATCTTTTCTGTAAAGTCTGTCTTTAGCGAGAGAATTCATTTGTATACATGTATAATAAATTATTAAGCAATATAAAAACATCAAATTGAACCGAACCATATATGGATTTATAATGCATTTACCTTTTTTTCTCTGTCTTTTTCATCATAAAACTTGAGTATGTGTACTTCGAGATCTTGAACTGTTCCCATGACTACGTCAACCATGGTGTTATCGATATTTGTTTCACCATAAAGACCTATGATGTAAATTCATGTTTTGAGTTAGTCTTTTTCTTTACAATCACAAATATATATAAAATTTTATATACATCCATTTTATCAGGGTTACCAAAGATGATTACAATATGACAGAACAAAGAGTACGATTAAGCGTATGAGAGAGTCACGTGCTCATCAGTCATGACCGCAATTATTACCTTTCCTTTGATTTATTTACCTGCTCTGAAAATTCTCAGAAGACAGTTTTGTGAACATCTAAGAGCTAAGAACTGTCTCTCAAAAAATACTGCAGGAAATAGGACGGACTTGCTTTGCCCGCATGTCCACCCAATACTATGGGGTCAAATCACTCAAAAGTCTCGTCTAACAAATGGTTCTTATTGATTAATGGACATGTTCACTTGCCCCATCGGTATCTCACATCAGTAGTTCATTAGACACTGTATAACAACTCTGGGGCATATCCCACCATCTACCCCTTTCACAGGACCTGACATAGCTACAATGACCCCATACCTACCTAATGATATAGCAGCCCGATCAAATCAATCATTTGCCATCTCATCCTCACATCCGCAAGGTTGTTTTCGTAATTCCAAATCTAAGTCTGTTTTCAGACTTTAGTTTGAAAAATGAAAGTTAAGACCCAAATTACACTTCTGTTCCATGATCCAAGGGCCTGGTCATCAACCAATCAAATAAATATTCATCTCAGCGTTAATTTCTGGTAGCCCGTCTCCCCCTGTCCCCTCCCCTCCCCCTTTCTACCCGTTGCGTTGGATAATTTGAGAAAAATGCCGAAAGCTTATAAATACCATATTCCCGAGCGACATAGCGAGCTATGGCACGGCTTTGAGGAATCGTCTCTCCGTCGACCTCCAATATTGGAAGTTTACCCTGTGGCGTATCTGTAATAGAAACTTAGCTATACTTTGGGAACATATCACTGGCTCACTTTCTTAGACCAAAACTAAAACAAAGATATAATAAAAAATACTCCTCTAATATTTTTTTTTAAAGAATGACACTTTTATGACTTTTTTTAACCATTTGTTTCGGTTATCCCTTTATATCACAGACAATACATTGTGTTACATGTGGTCACATTTCAAATCAGGATCTAACACCATTGCAATTAAGCGAAAGGCAACTGGGTGCACATACAGAATGTATATTGGCTCAGACAGTTTCTCCTTTAGACATTATCATGAAATACTTTCGTATTCACCATGATCGACACACGCTAAAATAATATATGAAAGAGACAGACTTTTGCTTCCCGATAGAAAAAGTAACTTAATATGATATGATATAAATATGCACTTCCTCGGGAACAATTTGATTCGGAAAAATAGGATGTCTGTTTGATTGACCAGATTTGATAAGATACTTTCTGTACATCATCAGACGATTTGATAATGTATATAAAAATACCAGACAATTTCTTCCTAATAGATATCATGATATAATTTGATTAGACACCTCAAGAGACGATTTTTTATAAGTAGGATAATTGCTAGAGGCTGCAAGACCAAACCACAGCTATTTGTGATTAAGAATCTCGGTCATTACGTCTGTATTGCTAATGGTCATAGGCCTGGTTTACAAGTTAATCGTTACTACTAACATGGTTTACAATCTGAACCACTATGTAGAATTTTGTAAGTGGCCACATGTTTAATATGTAAATTGTGATTTTTCTAACACGTGTTAATTAACTCTTTCTTACTTGGTTTCAGCTCCAACCAATCCTCCGATTTGATTCGGACATCTTCAAACTCTACACCAGCAGCTAAAAAGGTCAGTCTGACCAACTCCGCTACACCTCTAGCATCAAAATATGTAAGTTTGTATGTAGGCATGCTGCTCATGTGGAACAATAATGTTGGTATCTATGTGTAGATTCTATTGCTTTCTGACCCACATTGCCTACCTGGGTGATATTAGTAGATCATGCAGTTTGGTTGTTGTATGTATCATAAACCGGTTCATCCATATCACGTCAGTACACAGGAGGCCTGCCAAACAGACCTTAACACCGAATCTGTGTATAAAGCTGCCTACATAATAACTGCGTGGCTGAATTCAACCGGGAAAATGAGAAGAATAACACGACAAGATCACTAACCTGAAAGGGAAGAAGAGTGTATCCAACCATGACACAATGAGCACCACTGTGTTGTGTATTTAAATAAGGCATTGAAGTTAATGTGTTGTGTGTTTCTTAAACGTGTTGTATGGTATAAGTGATTTGCGTGTGTCGTTACAGTTAAAACAACCCTTAAGCATCCCTCGAAGCACTGTCCGGCCACCGATCGGCCACCATTCGGCTGTCGCACGACAATTTTACGGTCACCAATCGGCCACCATTCGGCTGCCGTACGACAATTTTACGGCCACCGTTTGGCCACTAATCCGCTGCCTTACGACAATCCTACGGCCACCGTTTGGCTACCGTCCGGCTCCCACTGGCCCGAGCTTCAAGTTTGCTTAATAAAGCATTTGCTCGATGTCACATCGTATTTATATCCCCATCATAAAAGTAGCCCCTCCCACATCGCATGTGCTATCCACACCTTTGCTGTCTCATATGATGAATATCAGGTCAGTAAAATAAGTCACTTAACCATACATACACCTTGTGTTACTTGTAAAGATGTGAAAGTAACTGATAACACATATTGTTTATAATATTGAATGGGACTGTTCATCAATTAGGGTGGTTGTAAAACACAACAACCGGTTTTAATTATTTCCTATTTCAGTCATACTTCAACTACAGAGTATAAAATAGCAATATTCAGATGTTTTGTTGATGAAGGTTGGGAATTGAAATTCTGCACAACATCTTACATAATGGTAAATATTATGAAATGTGTTATAATATTATAAATCCAGTTAAGTTATACTTCGTATTTCTTAGAGCTGAATGTGGAAGAATATTTTATAGCAATTGTATACATGTAATGTGTTTGAACCAGTTTTATTTCCAAATGATCGTATACTGTACACGCCTTCAATATCTATACATGTTAGAAGATAAGTACATATACATTATCATGAAAATTCACCAATAAATATTAATGCTATACATTTAATCAAATCCTTCCAGCAAAAACAAATCAGACCTGGTCTTATTCTCCTTGTACTGTTTCAAGAGTATCCGTGTTAATCTTTCTGTTGTTCATCTTTAGCACTACTTAAAAAAAACATTGAGTTTGGATCATGATTATGTAGACATATTAGTATTTTCTTGTTGTTTTTTGAGCAAATAAATGATATTCATTCACATATCTATACTAAAAAATACACTGTAATAGAGATATCAGAATATGGTCTAATGAAGGGATTTAACATACATATGGGGTAATACATATATGATGGTCTTCAGAGGGGACTCATGACGATTTCTTAAAGATACCTCGGATTTCATAAATGGTGGCCATCAGAAAAGTATCCGGAGAGAAAAGCATTTAGATAGAGGGATGTATGCCAGAATCAAATTCCTAAACAACTCTGTATTCCTTCCATCATCTTAAAAATAGCTAATGAGAGCAAATTAATATATGTTTCAAATATTCAAATTTCTGGGTGATATGGCACTCGTACGATCAATAAATCTTGAAAGGGGTAATAGTCATGATAAAGCACCCCTTCACTTACACAAAAAAGGGGGAGGGGGTTAATAAGTCTTCGATAGGAGATCGTTAATCTGCTTTCAGCGTTTTACATGTGATGATACATCACAAAACTAGAGAACATTATATCATCTGATTTTATGTTATTCTTAACGGTCAATTACATTTACATTGAACTCGAAACAACACAGCTGAAGATCTTAGGGCAATGACCGTTTGAGGAGAATATTACCTCCCTACAAATGCGTCCAAACTACTTGAAGAAATATAAGAGGTGGATTTTATAGAACTTGCGGCTGACGTAAACGAAGAATGATGATTACACGCTTCAAATGGGAAGAAGAGGATTAATTGATATTTTCTGGTTTAATTAAGGGATTAGAGATTGTGTTACAAAGATGGTATGATCATTTGCTGTTTCTAAAACTATCAACTTTGGACACATTAATTACTTAAATGGGCTATCACTTTTTTTCTTACGGGGTTTCAAATAGGGATACACATTGCCATTAATTCAACCCTGCGACCGTTTGTTTCATCATTAAGGGTAGCATTGGTAATCATTTATCCTTGTTTTTTTATTGATTCGATGGGGTCATTCTGACCTCCAGGACAGTTAGTCTGTTTCTATATAAATCATGACATGTTTAGTCTTTAGTAAGTTTGGTGGTTCTGTTATTGTTAACCTTGCTTTTTTGGGAACGTGATATAACTAATCCGAATTAACCAAAATTTGCATGGCTGATGTCATCGATGAAGCAAAGGACGCCTACCATTCTCGAACACCTGGTCTTTGTATTTTATCAGGAAATCTCCGTGTAAGTCATTCTTTTGTTCGTATTTGTATATCGTTTAATCAAGTTTTCGATGTTGGTGTTGCTTTTGTTGTTGGTTTTAAAAGAGCGCCTTTTGCCAGAATGACTATCGAAGGTAAGGTTTTGTGGTGACTTTTCCTGCGAACGCATGCATAGAATTTTGTGCATTTGACAAGCTATATAAATGGATGTGTTTTAAATAGTATTAGCTCTTGGTAAATGAGAAAGAAACATGTAACATGAAATGTGTTATTTAACTTCAGATAGGTGAGAGAAGAGGGAGAGAGTAATCATGCAGCGGAGTATGACCATTCATCGTCTCGTTGATCCAAGGAAGGCAAGGTCCCCCCTCCCCTCGTAATTACTTGCTTCAGAATTATTTTTGTACCTTGGACCACTATCATCTACTGAATTAAGATATTATGAATATTACCGAACGATACAATTCCAATAGCATATTAAGCTTCTATAATATTTATGGTTGTTGTGCCTACAAGTGACCTGTATGACAGATACATATCACCGTATTTCACTCCGGCAGTTTTTTTCCCTTATGTTTAGTGGGAAATATGACACATATTATATGTACAGGTAAGCAGGTGCCACAACACGTGACAGGTATAGAATTCCATAGTTATTCGCTTATATGCGATTTGATATTGACTTTCATACCGATGACTTACCAGTCATGGGGTAGGATGTTTCACTACAACGCTTTCATTTACTTAAAAAAAAAAACTGTTATTAACACCATCTTTATTACAATGCGAAAAAACTGGATATTTGTGTGAAGCATGTAAGAATAATACGTTGACAGATATTGTGGCCATACTGGGATGTAAAGAGTTAACAAGTACGATATGTTTTTTTCTAATTACATAACTTATACATAAAAAAGGTCCGATCAGCGGCCTTTGACCTCTAGTTTGGTGTAACTTGATACGTGTTATTTACATTGACACGGTGTTGATGTGATAATCGTCGTGTAAATACATTTGTTAATAGTTCTCACTTTCATTCTGTTGTTGAGGTTATATTCACTTTGTATATAACAGACATTTTCCCCACCCATTGAGCTATATTCCATTGCCTAATCCCAGTCCTGTCACTACAAATGAACATTTTGTTACCGAGGTTTTCAGTAATCTGCTTGTAACATTTTTATACATTCAAATCGTAGCATGGTTTAGATTACACACATGCAGTTGTTCTTCTGAAATAATCCAGTATTGAATCTCACGAAACACATTGAACCTCGAGATTACTATCCCCCCTCCTCTGGATTTTGACAATATTTCGACCAATTGTGATTTTTATGAGTCGGCTCCCAGGTTGTATGCCCTGCTCTCATTTGAGAACGTGAAACTACTTGGATTGACAAGGTTTGACATAGCAGATGTTCCCTCTTCTTTGTCAAAAAATCAATTGTGTGTCTTTAGCACAATCACCACATTACAGGATGTTTATGATATTCACTTGCATATCTTTTAACAATCTATTGGAATAATTAGTGCATGACAATCACTGTGACCGGGGTTTCCAAAAGAATAATTCATATCTTAAAAAATCCCTTATGTTACGCTGCAAAATAGCTTGTTACATCATAGTACGACATTCGGTAACGTTTGCCGACCAAACACTGTCATGGTTATCAATAAATCTACCTCATGGTGTTATGTGTGATCCTCAAATCCTGCTAGCGTTTGCTGTGGTGTCGTCGAGTGCTAATTTCCTTAAGTATATTCTGTGTTGTCTCAAGTCTTGTCTTAATTTCATTGCCAGTGTTTGCTGTGAGGAGTCGTGCGATTTTTTACTAATTGGTCTTATGATGTTTCGTCTGACATTTCAATTTTCGTCTGTATTTATTTACAATTGCAGCAACAGCAAAAAAACAACAAAAACACTATAACGCGGGACCGACATCTTATTCATAAGGCACTACATCAACGTAACACAGAACTATATAAATATATGATATCAAAACTACACACTTTTTATTAACAACTGCTACAGCTCACAACGCCAGCAACGAATCAAAAAGGCCGCTCACCATGCCCAATTCATTAATATTTTATATGTTCATTTTAACAGTGTTTTCATGAGCCTTTGTTCTCACATATTTTGTTTCCGCACCTCACTAAATAAACAGTAAATTAATAATCGCTTCTTTTACAACCTTTTTCATACACCTTTCCCCGTCTTTAGTGTTATTTTCTTATTTAACTTATTGTATCTGCTCCCAAGCCATCATTAATATTCGTCTAGACTGGTTTTCTTTAATCAATGAAATTCAATTTACAATGTACTGTGACTAAACAGTCGCCTTTGCTGGAGTTCTCACCGTTGTACCGCAGGCAGAAATATTCGGCTTGAAACGGGGGAAAATGATGTGATATTTTTAGCATCATTTGTTTTGTT